TTTCTACTTTTACTTTTATACTTTAAGTAAATTTACAAGCCTGTACTTTGTTACTTTTACTTGAGTAAAGAAGTTTAATCAGTACTTCCACTTTTATCAGAGTATTTTTTAACACAAGTATCTGTAGTTTTACTCAAGTACAGAAAGTGAGTACTTTGCCATCTCTAATTAGCTGCGACATATGAATCAAGATGCTATGACCGAAAAAATTTGATTGACAGATATCTGTTGATATATGATTGGCCGAATTTAGGTGTTCAGGCTGACATATAATTAACTGGCCTACATAAGATGACGAAAAAAAAAAAGATTTTAAGACAGACAGACAAATTTTGGGACAATATCGTTTGATAAAGAGAACATTTATATACATGTTTAAGCCAGAATGATTTGACATTTAAAAATGACTTCCCTACGACTTTAAAGCCTGATTGCTGCTTTCTTGCTGTATCTACTGATCAGTTTGTACATCATCATCCGGCTTATGGTTGAACATCTGCTTCAGGAGGGGCAGTGGTTCTTGTTCTGGACCAGCTCTACACTCTCTGCAGGGCTCTCCAGGGTTGAACTGGTCCACATGGGTTTTGTTGATCTGGAGAAGACAAAGGCCTTGTGGGGGGCGCTCCAGGAGTATGGAGTCGGAGCAGGAGTTCGGTCCTCACTGCCAGCTTTAAGTCGGACCTGTTCCCGTCCATGAAAGACTCATCAGGGCTGCCCTCTGGTCCTGCTCAGAACCTTTATCAACAGGATTTCTAGGTGCAGTCAAGGACCAGATGGGGTTCAGCTTTGATGCAAAACCAAAACATAATAAAAATGGTCTCAATGCTCCGTTTTATTTTGCGTCTCCACAATTTTAATGTTTGTAGAAACCTTGAAGCAAACATTTCGGTGATTATTCATTCTATTGAATAATCCCAATGTAATCCCATGTGTAGAAACACAGAGGGAGCATGCAGAGAAGATGCGGGGAGCTGAGAACTGTTCCACATACAGACATCCCTACACTGACTGAATCTGCACAATGAGGGAGGGGGGTTAGCATGCAGGGAGACAAAGAGCACACAGAAATATCAAAGCAGAACTAGAATGCGGTGGACAACCTTAGTTCCTGACATCTAGAACATGCTAACATTAGTCTTTACATCTTTTCGTGATTAAAAACTGCAGGACGATTATCACTACAGCTGCTGTTTGGTGGGTTTTCAGATAAACCACATGAACCAATGGTTTCCTCCAGCTTTAGGCTCAGGACGACGTCTAACTGAGTGGGAAACCAGAAAGGGAGACGCTGAACTGGTCAGCTGTTGCTGAGCTCTATGAACACTACTGCCTGTTAGTGGGATTATCAAAGAGCAGAAGAAAACTTGGATCTTCTCAGAGCCTGAAATATTTTAGCTTCCATGCTCTTAAAGGTCAGATATCAGTCACAGATAAAACTTCACAACATTCAGGTTATGTTTTATAGATTCCTCTACAATTTATCCAAGCCGCCTCATCAGGGACCACTTGGACCAGTAGCTGCAGCTCAGTAAAGCCCAGGGAGGTTTGGAAGGGAGAACCTCATATAGACGCTAGACTGGCCAGACAGAACCTCCTACTGGGTGGTAGGAGGGAAGCAGGATTGGTTGAGCTGGACCAGGACACTTGGAGAAGCCATCACTCTAACTTCAGTGGAAGATGTATTCGTTTTTGCAATGGTGCAACATGAAGGGTCTGGAACAGGTCTTCATGGCTCCATTAGGAACCAAACATCCTTCTCTTCATGGATAACAGACACAGCAACACAGAACCATTTATGGCTGGACTAAAGCTGATCACTGTGGCCTTCACCCTGGAGGAGCTTAGCCACCCAAACCCAGACCAGCATCTTCTAACAGACCTTACTGGTTGTGGAGAGCTTAGTAGGACAGCTAAGCCAACACATTCCGCCTCAGTTTGGTCGCCTCTATACCGACGATTTTCTGTTACAATTGAGGACAAGGTCATGTGGGTTTGTTGTCACAGCAAGGGAGCTCCACAAATAGGAGTACCTTCTGCTGAGAGCGTTTAGGCTGGACTCACAGTAGAAGAAGAGGCGCTGTAGATGGCCAGAAGATGGACTCTGGGTAAGCAGAGGAAACCACGGAGTCATGGAGGCACACTGGACGACAAGAGCCATGAGGCTAAGCTAATGGTAGCTGGCGTTGGTCATTTACAAAATAAGCTCTGCCTGCAGCGATTTAATGGTTAAAAATGTTAGTAGTTCAGTAAATGAGGATGTTTTGCTTCACTTAGCCTGATGCATTAGTGCTTCTCTGCCCTTTTACCCGTACACCATTATCACCATGATCACTGCTAGAACAGCGGACTTAAATACAGAACAGACCTCTTGTCTCCCTCTGCGTCCTGCGCTCCACTGCTCGGAAGCAAGGCACAAGGAAACAAAGGTTAAAAAAGGTCAAGAAGAAGAGGAAGGGAGAAGATTTTACAGAGAGGCAGACGCATCACTGTGCATCCTCAAAACGACCTCCAACAGAACCACTCACCCACCCACGGACTCACCTGGTGGTCGGAGATCTCTTCGTCCGCTCACAATGGACGGCATCAAAGAATGCAGCGTTCCAGAACCTCAGCGTGTGCCTGTCAGAGGAAACGTACCATTTTTATAACCATATCAGAACCTCTCTGGTTCTGATACCTGTGAGTATCTTGGCCAGGAAAACGGTTAGAGTGATACATTGCTTCTAAAGTTGCAGACGGACCTGGTGAGATCACATCTCTGCTCAATGTTTGGTATCATTCAGGAAAACAGATTTTTTTACGTAGCAGCTCTCTCAGTTCTCTGGAGGTCAGACCTGCATAGGTTCTGCTCTGGTCCAGTTCATGAGATGGACTGATGGGGGGGTTGTGTGGTTGTGGGACGGTGGAGATTAAAGGTGAGGCAAATGGCTCATAACTCTGTAGCAATGGTTCTGGACTCTAGGCCAAGAAAATGCCAAAGAAATGTTTACATCTTATTGTTTAAATGTATTTATTATACAAATGTTTACATTATTTGGAAACATAATGAATGTTTGTTTGACCTCCTGCACACCATTTTAAAATAAACATAAAAAAATGTTCATAAACTTTGAAAAAGCTCCAGGGAGTCGTATGGGGGGAGCTAAAGAGCCGCATGCGGCTCCGGAGAAGAACTGTTTCTTCATCCTACCTCCAGCGCAGACACCAGCCGTCTGATGCCCCGCTCTGTCTAAACCCGATAGGGTGCGGTGATCCCAAACTGTCCTCCTTCAATCTCCCGCAGTTAGCCTCTAGAGGCTAGCTCTAGCCAGCCGTTGCCTCTCCTAGCTCTGGCTCCCAGGCTGGCTTCTCCAAAACTGCTGTCCTACTCCCGGACAGCCGTAGGCTCTACCCCGCTTTCCTTGTTCTGTCTGGCTGTTGGACTTATCTGATCTACCGCTAAGCTTAGTCGATCCTCCGCAGTTAGCCTCTATTGCTAGCCACAGTCAGTTGTAGCCTCTCTCCAGCATGCTTCTCAGATCTACAGCTGTGCTTCTCAATCTCTACCAGAGCTAAGCCTGGCAAGCCGCTGCCTTCTCTCCGAGCTCTGGCGCACCGTTTCCCCAGCAGGGTCCTCTGATTTCCTGTCGTGGTTCCTTAGCTCCAGTTGGGGGCCCGGCGGGCCGCCCCTTTTTGGTTCTGGTTGTCTCTCTGCTGGTCTGTTTTCACCGATTTCCTGCTGCTACTGTCTGAGGTCCAAAAATGCCTTCTCACCTTCCCTCTGTTGTACGGGTACACAAAGTACGCTAACGTTATTGTTGCTATACGTTTTTCTGTGTGTACGGTCCATAGAAGATCAAAGTGAAGCATGTGGAGCCTTAAGTCACTACCATTGCCGGTGTAGATGCATGATCTGCTCGGGTGGTCAAATCTGCTCGGGCCCTGTGCATGCCAGTGATGCTGAGCTACATGATTGGCTGAATGTTGCCACATGATGTAAAACATTGTGTTGCCCAGACAACGATAACAACATCACGCAGCGTCAGTGTGCAGAGTCGGGAGCATGTTATAAAGTGTCTAATGACCAATGAAGTCTTACCTGACCGATAAAAAAACTGTAAAACATCAGTTTATGGTGAACAAAGTAACTGCAAGACCACCATATAAAAGGGGAGAGCTGATGATATTTTTTTAAGAGTACAGAGCAATTCAATTCGGTTTATCTATATAGCACCAATTCACAACACATGTCATCTCAAGGCACTTTACAGTTCAACCAGATCATACAGTCAAAGTTTTCTATCTAAGGAAAACCAGTTGATTGCATCTGCTCATTGACTAGAGTGCAATCCCTCACACTAAGCATGCTTGAGAACATGAGAATGCACAAGTACACATATTGAGAAACGGCCCTGGTTCTTCTTACCATATAGGTTGCTGCTTCAGGTGAGTGTACAGGTAAACCTTTTCTCCTCTCTTCTCTTCTAGACCTTCTGACTCTGGATAAGAAAATCAAAACAGACATTAGTGATTTTTCTATTGTTAACAAATTACCTTTAGTGAATAAATGCAGAGGAGCAGGAAGTGTTGCTTTCTACCTGGGGACTTGGGTTTCATCTCACCAGGACCTTCTCTGTCATCAGTAGGAAAAAAACAAAACATGCTCTGGTCAAGTTAACGTTTTAATGAAACTAACTCAAAGATGACACCTATCACTCACTCAGACTTGGAAGCTATGGAGCTCCTCAGTTTGCTCTCCAGGCCTCCAAAGAAGCCTCTGACGTCAGTTTTCGATGTGTGTTTGAGAAGGCGCTCTGCAACGTCTTTCTTTCCTGAAAGCCAGGAGTTGGCCTTGTTCAGGTACGAGTCCAGACCTGCCTGCTGACCGCCGCGGTCCAGCAGGTCAGAGGGGGATTGCGGACACTTCCCTGCACAGTTAAAGAAGATGACCTCAGACCTTCAAAGCCCCACCAGCCTCTCTGTTTATAGTTAACGTCCTTCGAGGATTTACCAACAGTTATCTGTGTTTCTGGTTCTGCAGGTAGGTTTATACCACAGAAAAACAGAGGCTCAGGAAGAAAAACAGCTCAGGGTAAAGTTTGTCTGCACCTTAAGTAGCTAAAACTCAGAGGACTGAGAATGAAAACAGTCTTCAACTCATCAAATTAACAAGCCTTTGAACAAACAGCTGCAGAGGTACCCGACTCTTTGGGTCGGGTTACTGTGCCATTAGCAACCGGTGTCCATCTGAGCAAAGCTGCAGCATTACTGCAGAATGAAGCAAAAACACAAAGGTGGAGCATCCTAACATGTTGCAGCAATGTGATGTGTCAGAGGCACTCATCACACACACCCTCCTGGTTGCATAATCATAATCAGACCTTTCTTTGAGGTGTTGCTGCAAGACAGCAACCACAGCGCCAACCGGAGGCAGTAACTTTTTGGATCAGCACAGACCACTAATGTTCACTGATGCAAGCTGTGGCTGCTGTTCCTGTTAAAATGCAGGGCTGATTAAATCAACCAAGACTCATCCAAGCATCGTCATAAACATCATCTGGTTTCAAAATCAACTAAAAATCGTAAAGAGGTCAAAAGAACCTCCATTCCCTCTGTTAACCTTATTATAAAGGATTAAAGCAACAGTAGGTAGTGTTTCTACCTTGATATATCATATTCCAAATCCCTGGGATTCTAATTTACGTGTTTATGAGATGAGTGGTCTGGCATCTACTACTAATGGCTCTGGTCAGAAGAATGACACTGGAGGCTTCACGGTTCTGTTCTGGTTCTTCCCGTAAGGTGACGGTTTTATGGCAGAGCGACAGCTTTACGGCAGACCGACGGCTTTACAGCAGACTGACGGCTTTACAGCAGACTGACGGCTTTACAGCAGACCGACTGCTTTATGGCAGACCGCCTGCTTTAGGGTAGACCAATGGCTTTATGGTAGGCCAACGGCTTTACGGCAGCCCGAGGGTTTGACTGCAGACAGACGGCTTTATGGCTGAACGACGGCTTTACGGCAGACCGACGGCTTTACAGCAGACTGACGGCTTTACAGCAGACCGACGGCTTTACAGCAGACCGACTGCTTTATGGCAGACCGCCTGCTTTAGGGTAGACCAATGGCTTTATGGTAGGCCAACGGCTTTATGGCAGGCCGTCGGTTTGACTGCAGACAGACTGCTTTATGGCAGACCGACTGATTTACGGCAGACCGACACCTTTACGGTAGGCCGACGGCTTTATGGCAGGCCGACGGTTTGACTGCAGACAGACTGCTTTATGGCAGACCGACTGATTTACGGCAGACCGACACCTTTACGGCAGACCGACGGCTTTACGGCAAGCCGACAGCTTTATGGCAGACTGACTGCTTCAGGTCAAACTATGAGCTGCCAGAACCAGAACATTTCAACATGTGGACTGTAGCCAGGAAGATATGTTCTATGAAAACCTTGCCCAGAATTTCACATGGGCCTTATCTGGAGTGAGACATTGTCTCCCTCGTGGTGAAAAACCTGAAGCAACATCAAATGAAACCCTGATATGATAAAAACCTCCAAAGATTGAAAGTGAAGTCTAACCATCTGACCATTTTAAACCTGGAAATTATAGCCATGTTCTTCATCTTTGAGGACAACTACTTTCTGCTTCGTCCTTACAGCTCTTCCTACCAAAGAGCTCATTCTGCATAAAAGAAAAAGTCTGAAGCAGTAATGGATGTAAATTCCAGGTTAAATGAAGACAATTAACAGTCCATGCTGCTTGTGCACTGAGCCAACGGCAGAAAACTAAGACATTCTGACATATACTGAGCAAAGAATGTTCCAGTCAGAACTGAGTCTTACCAATGTAGTAATATGTGAAGCACATGGTCATGAGGCTTTTAGCCGGGCTGTAGTCGTCCACCTGGAAACATCTGGAAAAACAGAGCTGAATTATAACGCTTTCTATGGGGGTGATAGTCTACAACATTTCACTGCATATAAATAATGAAGTGCAGAAACCGGCCTGTGAAAAGACTGAACCTAAAGACCAGTAACAGGCCAGAACATCTCAACCAGCTCTCCTCTTTCTAGTCGTTTTTTTGAAACCACCTTATTCCTGAAGGAATAATAGGTTGATGCCTGAACTTCTCCTACTGAACTCCAGTTTAATGTTTTCAACCTAAATGATGAGATGCTTCATATCTGGGTCTCTGTGGATCTATAAGATGGTTTTGAGGAGTTTAGTGATGAGCTTTAGAAGCACTTCTAGATCATCTGACCACTGGAGCATCAGCAGAAGAAAACAATATCTGGATGATGGAAAATATCCTCCAGCTGCAACAAAAAACATTCCTGCTGCCTCCTAATCTGTCTGCAACCTTCCTCCATGTCAATCAGGCTGCTTATTAAATCAAATTCATTCAGATTAGAAGTACGTTTCCAGTACTACCAATAACTTTTCCATTAGGTGCTTCTGAGGATTATCTGGTTTCAAAGCCTTCTTCTTCGGTGGCTGTTGATTTCAAACATTCTATTTTAAAATTAGAACCAAAGGCAGAGAAAGCAAGCACTGCAGATACTCACTCAAACAGAACAAGAGCGAAGGACTGGACCAGCCTGTAGAACGTGGCCTCGCTCACACATTTGGAGTGGCAGCGCTGTGAGACACAGAGACCCATTAGATCCACCCTACTCACCTTTACATTTTTAAACAAGATATAAACATGTTATTCCCGCTTCATGTCGTTTCTCCTACGTGCTGCAGATGTATACAGATACCTCATTACTAAAATGAGTGTACTTTAGGAACACGCATCAGTATTTGACCTTTTTCAGATCAGTTTTGGTTTTCTCAATGATGAAGATAACAAAATTATTTCGTTGACGCACGTTTTTTTCATGACGATAACGAGAACTGATGAGCTAAAGGCAGATCTTTGTTGACGAAAACTTGAGAGTTATGGGTGTGGGTTTTAGTTAGGGATGGAACGGTTTATGAAAACCGTCCGAACCGTTCGGTTCGACTGTCTCGGTTCGGTTCGCGTGTGTTGTGTTCGGTTCATTCGCTGCTCCTTTTTCTCATAGGCGAAGCTTGTACACTCCAGAGCAGAAGGTGGCGGTACTGCGACCAAAGCCAACCACCAGTAGTAAACAAGGAGAAGAAGAAGCGAAGCAGAAAAAAATCTGTTGTGGAGAATTGTGTGGGTATGGTGAGACCACTTTGCATTTAGTGACCTACGATGACGGCGGAAAGAAAGTTGTGGATCAAAGTGCAAC